GTCGTATTCTTGAACTTGGAGGGATTTTTTCAGCTTTCTCCCAATCAGCATAATGTTGGCGATGAGTCTGTCATACGTGGCTTTTTTTAATTGATTGAGCTATTGCTTCTTTTAAAGGTTTATTTATTTATTACATATACAGAAGAGGGTGCCAGATCTCATTACAGATGGTTGTGAGCCACCATGTGGGTGCTGGGAATTGAACTCAGGACCTCTGGAAGAGCAGTCGGTGCTCTTAACCTCTGAGCCATCTCTCCAGCCCATAAGTAGCTTTTAAAATACTATCATATATAAGCCTTCTGTTTTTAATTTGTTAAAGCTTTTTATCATAAGTTTCTGAATTTCATCCAATCTTTCATGAATCTATTTTGATAACATGGTTTTTACCTTCCATTTTGCTGACATTGTGTATTATGTTTATTGTTTTGTAAACCATCATTGCATCTGTATCCTTGGGATGAGATAATTTTGATCATGGTGAATAATCTCTTTTTAAAAAATTATTACACTCATTCAATTACTTACGTGGTGTAGTGTGTGTATGTTTTGGCACAGTTATTCCATAACATGTTTGTGGAGGTCAGAAGACAATCTGCAGGAGTTGATTTTCTCTTTCTACCATGTGGAGCCCAGGGATTAAACTTGTCAGGTTTGGCAGCAAGTACCTTTACCTGCTAAGGTATATTACTATCTCTTGAAAAAAAAACTTTGAAAGACAGAGAATAATGTGTGTGTGCATGTGTGTGTGTAGGGGGAGGGAATGATTTTTTGATGTGATATTGAATTTGATTTGCTGGTATTCTGTGAAGTTTTATATTAAGTTCATAAGAAATTGATCTGCAGCTTTAATTCTTTTTCTTTCCTGGTCATGTTTGGTTTTGGTAACAGGACAATTCTGGGCTCATAGAATAAATTAATGTGGAAAAGTCCCTTTATGATCCTTTGAATAAGTGGAGAAGAATCAGCATTAATTCTTATTTAAAGGTTTCACAAAATTCAAGAGTGAATCCATCTGGTCCTAGGTGTTTTTTTTTTTTATCTACTTGTATGGTATTGATTATAAAAGCTTCCATTTCAACTCTAATTTTTTTTCTTTCAAGACAGGGTTTCTCAGTGTAACAGCCCTGGAACTTGTTTTGTAGACTAGGCTCAACTTTAATTTTGTTTGCATATTTTCTTTTTTCTCCTTGGTTAGTCTCCCTAAAGGACTGTAGTTTTATTTAGCTTTTCAAAACCCAATTCTTTATTTCATGATCTTCTGTGGCTTTTTTCCTTTATTCTGTGTTACAGTCTGGTGTGAGATGGTTCTATAGGTTTTTGTGTTTAATACTTGGTCCCCAAATGGTGGTTCTGTTTTGGAAGAGTGTGGGTCCTAACTGAAAGAAGTAAATTAGTGGTGTGGGGGCAGGCCTTGAGTGTGGTCAAATCGACTTCTGGCTCCATCTGCTTGTCTCCTGACCCACTGAGATGTGAATAACAAGTTATGCCATATGCTTCCACAGCTAAGGACAGGGCTGCCCTACCATGCCTTCCCTGACATCATAGATCATATCCTAAGAACTTCTCAGAGCTCTAGGGTTTTATACTTGAGACTTTGTCCATAATTGTGAGTTGTATTCATAGAGGCATAGTTTGACATGGTTTATGCTCTCAGTGGAACTGGAATCCTAAAATGTTCTTCAAAGTTCCTACACTGCTTCTAAAACTCACCATTACTTCCTCTAGTATGCATTTTTAAAACCATTATCAAAACATTTAAAGTCCTTTAAGGATATCTCCCAAATCTACATTGATTTTGTTCCTATATTCTGAATTTTCTTAGCTATGGGTCAACATTTTTACAGCTTGTTCCCAAGTCTTGGCATTTCTAACTACATGGTGAACATCTTGGGTCACATGTTATAGGGACTTCATAGGTAAAGTCAGAGACATTGAATCTCTTTTACAGTTTAATATTCTTTTAGATTTCTTCTTCTTATTGCTATTATCATTAGATAATCTGCAACAGGGTTTGTTATGTAGTACAGACCAATCTAAAATTTGCCATGAAACACAGGGTGGCCTTGATCATCCTGTCTCAGCCTCCTGAATGTTGGCAGTACAGGCAGTGTTACCATGCCCAGCTTGTTCAAGTGTTTATTTTCCATCTATGATTTGGCCTATAACTTCAAAGAGCAGTAACACATTGATTTAAAAATGCATGGTCTGAGGCAAAAAGTTCCAAATGATATGAGAGAGAGAAAATTAAAAATCAACTACAATAGTAATGGAAGAAATGAATTCTGGCCAGGAAGACTACCAGGCTTCCAGAGGAGGCAGTGGATGGGACAGGAACACTCTAGCAGCTAATTCCAGCAGAGATATTTACGCATTTGTTCTTGGATGCTTTAGCAGTTCATGGGAGTAGAGGTTGGGGGAAATGTTAATATTTTATAAAGTCTTCTACTTAAAGTGTGACCTGCAGACAAGCTGCACTGGAAAGTCTCTGGTGTTTATCAGAAAGGCAGACTCTTAGGACCCAGACTAGGTATACTGATCCAGAGAGACAATCTCAATAAGACCTACAGGTATTTCAAAATTCTAATAGTAGGTACTTAAGTCTTTACTGGAATTAGCAATTTGTGATCTCTCATTCTGGGCTCCCAAGCAATCATACATGCTATAGACACATCCCATAGACAACTGAGTGTCTAAATACTAGATATTTTGTCCTTTATGATCATTAGTGAACTTCTGCATTAGTTATTCCCATTCTGCAGATAAGGGAATTGATGGTGAATATGGTTAAACAGGTGGCCTAAGATCACAAAGGAAGCAGAAGATCTGAATTTGAGCTGTATGTGGCTGATTCTGAAGCCCGAAACATTCTTTTCATTATATCACATGGCCTATCTCTCACCTGTGATTCAGGAGAAGCAAGTGGTAATTATAGGTCTATCCCTCATTAGTTCAGTGGGCTGAGCTACTTCACTCTATCTTTGTAGAACTTAGCTTCCACCTTTAAGTTGGTAGAGGACAAACTAGTAAATGTTCACTAATGACTTGTGTGTTGGGAGTCTCTCTTTTGTGTGGTGGTGACTTAGAAAAACAGCAGCAGAGTGTCATGGTGTAGAAAAGATTACAGAACAGAGACAATCAGAGTCTACCCTCCTCCTGCTATATATTAATTGCATGCCTCTGTTTTTTCACAGTAAGACAGAGGTAAGTCACCTACATTGGCTGTCTCTCAGTGTATTTTACTGGTTCAAGTGACATCATAAAAACATTTCCACACGTAAGAATTGTTATATTAATACTTTTGTTTGAATGTATGTGTCTTAATGACTTTTTTTTTTGCTGTGAAGAGACACCATGGCCAAGGCAACTCTTATAAAAGAAAGACTTTAATTGGGGACTTGCTTACAGTTTTAGAGGGTTAGTCCATGACCATCATGGTGCAAAGCAGATAGGCATGATGCTGGAATAGTAGCTGAGAGCTTTATATCCTGATTCACAGACAGCTGGCAGAGAAAGAGGCTGGACCTGGCATGGGCTTTTGAAAACTCAAAACCCACCTCCAATGACACACCTCCTCCAATGAAGCCAAACCTCCTAATCCTTCCTAAACAGTTCCACTAACTGGGGACCAAACATTAAAACTTATGAACCTATGGGGGCCATTTTCATTTAAACCACCACAGTATATATGTGGTTGCATGTGCAGGTGAGTGTGTGCCACAGCACATGTATGGAGGTCAGAGAATAACTCTTGGAAGTTGGTTCTGCCCTGCTACCTTGTGGGATCTAGGGATTGAAGTGACTACCTACTGAACCATCTTGCTGTCCTTTGCCTTAGTTTTAAAAACAGGAATTATACATTACTAAATTAATTTAGAAACATGATTTGTAATCTGGATATGGTTACAATTGAGAATTTATTTTGGCAAAGCTCTGGGCTTGATCCTTCTAACAATGAGAACAAAGCTAATAAAAATCGGTATAGGTTCTACACCTAGAATGTGTCCTAGAATGTCCTAAGATGATGGATACATTTTCTATCCCTGCTGTCTAGTCACACAAGAGTAATGGGCACTTGATGTATAGCTGGCTGTGACTACATCTAGAATCACTGTGGCGATATACCTCTTATGTTGTTGTCTATTAGGGTGTTTCTAGGAAGGTGAAACTGAAGAGGGGAGACTCAACCTGTGTTTAAGGGGAACCTTTCCATGAGCTGGAGTCCTGGCGTCAATCAAACAGAGAGAGCAGGCTAAGCATCAGTCTTAATCTCTACATCCTGATTTGGATGCAATAAAACCAGCTGCTACATGCTCTTGTCACTGTGAGCCAGAACAGACCCTTCCTCCTGTAAGTCGCTTCTTATCAGGTAGGAGAAAAGTAATTAATACAGACATAACAGAGCAATTGAATTTTAAAATGTATCTCATTTGGATAATTTAAGGTTACATGGTCATGTCTGAGTGGTAGTTGTTATAAGGAACAGCACCACCTAGAGCTGAGAGAAAATGAATTGGTCAGCAGGGTTAAGGTTTTCTAGCTGAACTCTTAAAGCCAGCAAGAAATTGATGGTTACGGTGTAGTTCTGAAACTTTATCCCCTAATGTATCTTCTTTCGAGACAGGGTTTCTTTGTGTAACCTCTGGTTATTCTGGAACTTGCTCTCTAGACCAGGCTGGCTTGGAAAGCTCAGAGATCCTCCTGCCTCTGCCTCCTGAGTGCTGGGATTAAAGGTGTGTACCACCACCACCTGACTTCACTAATGCTTCTTATCCCCAAAGCAAACATATTTTTTTAAATAACATGATTGCTAATAATGAGATTAATAATTTCCCTGGAATTCAATGATGACTTTGCAGCAACACAGGTTAAACTAAAAATTATGAAGGTTACACAAACAATACAATGTTCTGTTATTTATGTGTTTCTTTGCCTGAAATTCAGGAACTGGAAGTAGAACCAGAGTGGTCACATCCCCCATGGAGGCCACGGCTGTCTCCTACCTCGAGTTTTCTGTCCTTCGGCTTATGCACTGGTGCAAGTAGAGGTACTCCTGAGGCGCACTGGTGGACAAGGCAGGCTGGGCGTGGCCTGCCACGGGGGGCTCAAACGTGAACAGAGTGGGCTGGCTGGAGTGCGAAGGGGCGGAGGACTTCCTTTCCCGGAGCAGGTGCTGAGTGGAGCCGCTGAACTCAGCTGGAGAAGAGCGGGAACCATGACTGGCTGAAGAAAGGTTTCTCAGGGAGTCTGTGAAAAGAAGAAAGAGCTCTGTGAGTGAAATAAGGGAGCCGGCGGTGGTGGTGCACGCTTTAATTCCAGCACTTGGGAGGCAGAGGCAGGTGGACCTCTGTGAGTTCAAGGACAGCCAGAGCTACACAAAGAAACCCTGTGAAAAGAAACCAAAATAAAACAACAACAACAACAACAATAATAAAATTGAACAAACAAACGAAACAAGGAAAGGAAAGTGTCCTTATCCTAAAGACAATAGTCAGAGGAAGAGAAAGTATTCTGAAAGAGACAGCAATGTGGCTGCTACATTTTCTCCTTCATACACTCGTTCCATCTTGCCAGAGAGACAGGTTGGGCTGCCTGGCTATCTTGGCTGAATGGGAGATGAACTATACCTCTGAACTGCTTAGGAGTAGCCTGAAGGCCTACCCCAGAGGGGGTTTACCTATTCACCTCCAGGAGAGTGATGCTGCCATTAAAAAGATTAGACTCTGGATGATGCTTCCTTCCTGTCGGTGGCTCCTGTGGGAAGCAGATGAAGTCTGGAGTGAATGTATATTGTTGACATGGACCCCAATGACTGACCCATAAGAATGGCAAAGCCTTCTTCAGGTGAGGCTCAGAGGCATGGCAAAGCTTTCCTGTGGTCTAAGTAACAGTGTTTATGAATAACTAACCAGTGTGTGCAAAACTGGCCAATGTGTGAAAAAAACTCACAACCTCAGCTTCCTCCTCCTGGACAACTGCACCCCAAGACTGCTTCCCTACAGAGACCTCCTACCTAGCCTAACTTCACCTCCTGTGTTGTACATAATAAACAGGGCTGAGTTTCTGGTTTGTAGGTGTCCGTCAGAATGAGCACAACCCACCAGATCCCAGATTTCTGTATGGCTGGTTGGCCTGGAACTTATGTGATAGGTTAGTTTCTAACTCAGAGAGGTCTGCTTGCCTGGACTCCTGAGTGCTGGGACTAAGGGTGTGCGTCATCATGTCTGGCTGGCTAGCCTTTCCTCATTGTCACCCCAGTCAAGGTTTCTAGGACCAACCTGTGGAGGGCATGACAGGTTCCTGCTGTTATTACCCCCCTTGAAACTTCTGGCTTTGCTAAATGAGACATTGCTTACCTAAGACTCACTGAGTAAGGTCCAGAACCGTGCCTTTCTGCAATCATGATAAAAGCACAAATGAATACCATGCTGTCCCCTTCAGACTAGACCCCTGCTCATCCTGGTACTCTTCCATGTCTTCCAAGGACAGCTTTGTTCTCTGTTCCCCGATTTTCTCTTCCACTGGTCCTTCTTTGTTTCTTCTTATCTCAAACTCTCCTCTGTTATATTAGAAAGGAAGTGAGGTATATAGGACAGATAAAGGCTTAGAGTACTACCCCCCAAGCATTATTCATTGGGCTGGCTCTTTAAGCCCAGTTCAGTTTCCTAAGTCTGACCTACTTCCTGCTTTCTCTCCACACATAAGCAAAGCAGATGGAAGCATCCTCAGTCTGTGAGCACAGCAGCCTCTTTTGTGGTTCTTTGTTTCCCCTTATGCCACTCCTTCATCCTGGGTTTCATCTCTACACTTCTAGCAAGCTTATATGAAGACTTCAAGATCCTGTGTAGATGCTACATTCCCACAAAAACCTCCTGATGCTTTTTTTCTTTCTGGGTGCTGCCAGGTTTCAGCTCATGCTTCCTTTACATCTGTGGTCACTCTGCTTTCTTGCTCTTGGTTTCTGAGAAGTGTGTCAGTGAGGTTATTGCTTATACAGTCCCAGCATTTACCTGATAAAGTCCTATGAGAAGGTTCTCAGTCCATAATTATATAAGAAAAACATTTGGTATTTAAAAATTCCAACAGTCAAACTTATGTTCTTAAGAAATAAAGGTATAAAGATATAAATAACTTCAGGTGATGTGTTAGGTAGGGAGGAATATTTTGGGGATGACGGCTTTCTAGTTATTCAAATTCTATCAGAAGAGACAGGTTTTTTTAGCTACTCTTCATTTGCTGACCTATTTCAGGCTGTACCACCCGAATGGCCCAAGGCAGGATCACCAGCTCATTAATGCTCTACAGTACTAATTACTCTCTAGTCACTCTGAATACTGGAAAGGGCATCTTCTGTCAGGGCAGAAAAGAGAAAGCCAAGGAGCCTCTGGGGAAAACTGCTCCACGACAGCTGTATTGATCTCCAAAATGAATTCCTATAACAGGTCTCGTAGTGACCTGGATGTTTGTTAACAGAATCAATGCATTTATTATTCCATTAGATTTGCGAAATGAACTCTCTAATGGTGGATGAGAGGAGGTTTATACAGTGCACATATTTACATGCAGCCACTCACATAAACACGTAAGATGTAAAACTTAAGAAGAAACAGCCCAAATTGCCCACTAACTAATGAGTGGCTAAATAAAATGCGACAGTCCACACAGTAGACTTTTAGACATACAAATGAATGAAATACTGATACACACTATTTTGATGAACCTTCAAAACAATGTACTTTGTAAAGGAAGCCAGTTGTAAAAGATGAAGACTAGACAGTATAATTTATGTGCAATGTTTGGAACAGACAAATCCACAGACAGAGAAAGCAATAAATGTTTGAGACTGAGCTCAGGGTAGGGGTGAGGGGGGCAGTCAAAAGGGAGAGTGGCTGCTAATGACAATGAGGTTGCTTTTGGAACAATGAAACATTTCTAAAATTAAGGCTGTGGAGATGCCTGCACATCCATATAAATACACTAAAACCCAGTGAACTGTATGTTTTATAGGTGAATTTAATAGTATGTGAAATAAATCTCATTAAAGATTTAAACATACAGTTTGATAATTTCTCAACAAGCTAAATACACCTATGTCCTCTAAAAAGTTAAATCTATATGACCCAGCAGTCTCACAAGTAGGTGTATGTCCTAGAGAAATGTAAAATTATGTCTATAAAATGAACTTGTACAGAAATATGTTCAGGGCCAGTGAAATAGGTCAGTGAGTAAAGATGTTTGTTGCCAGTCCCGGCAACCTGGATTTCATTGCCAGGATCAAGCTTTACCCAATGAGCTACCATACTAGCCCCAAATCAGAAACTAGATTGTCATAATGATTGTATAACTTGTACACTTTAAGTGGGTTATAAAAGACCACGCATTCTGGGTATGGTAACACATATCTTGGAATCCCAGGAGTTCAAGGTCATGTTTGGCTAAGCAGTGAGCTTGAGGCCAGTCTGGGATATACAGTGAGATTATGTCTCACTCAAACATTAGAACAAAACAACAGAAAACAAAACAAGACCACACACACACACACACACACACACACACACACACACACACACACACACACAAATCCCTAGCAAACTATGAAATGTGGGCAGAGATTAACAGCAGTCTAATAATATATACCTGTCAGGCATAGTAGCTCATGTCTATAATCCCAGCACTTGGGAGGCTGAGGCAGGAAAATGACTGAGTTCAAGGCTAGTGTGGGCTATATAGTGGATTCTAGGTTGTCTCAAAAAAATAAGGCCAGTCATGGTGGCATACCCCTTTAATCCAGGCACTAAGGAGTAGAAAGCAGAAAAATCATGGTATGTTTGATGCCAGCCTGGTCTACACAAGTTCCAGGCCAGTCAGGATTGCACAGTGAGAACCTGCCTCAAAATAAAACACAAAGCTCATCTGACCTTTATTTTTCCTTATTTCCTTTCTGAAGTGAAAACTGAGCACTTGGTAAACAGTCTTCACTAGAGTGTTATATACTTGAGTAAGAGACATTTCCCTCTTTTCTATTTTCATCATCCCATATTCCCTCCTTTATCTCCTTCACCCCATAATTAGAGCAGGGCAATATGACTTGGGGACCCCAGTGAGTTGAAAATCCTTTCTAGACAGTGCCCCTCATGTCTGGATAGGAGTCAGTTCACCCAGACCCCAAGTCTGGCTCTGCCATCAATCAGACTGAGATCATGCCCAGTTTGGAGCTTTAGTTCCTGGCTTCGGAACTGGCAGGATAATACTTGGCCTACAATCCCTACGTTATGTGGCTGTTTTCAGAGTCGAGGTCAGAGTGTGAAAGCAGATCATGCACATACATAAATTGTTAATAAGATTTCTTTTTATTGCCTGGAACCTTTGAAGAGAAGAAAGTACGGTACAAATAAAGGAAAACATTAGACAATGTATGGCTGGGATGTTTTTGGTATGAGATGGACATGTTGTTGCAATGATGTGTCCTGGGTGGTTAGGAAGGTCAGTAACACAGCAAGAAGAAAAGGGAGGTTTCCAGACTCCTGGCCTGGCTTCTATCTCTAAGTCTAGACTAAAGATAACGGCTGCAAATGTCTGAGTCAATTTGTTTTCTTTTAAGCAGGGTTTTATTTTTTTCCTTTTCTTCCTGGCTTCCTTTTAGGGATCGACAAAATCACTCCCCTTCCTTTCCACAATCACCCCTGGGAAGCCTGCCCAACAGGCAAGTACTCCTCCCACCTCCTTACAAAACTGCAGTGTAGGAAAGCTCAGAGGGCTTAGTGTAAGAGCTCTGCCCAGGCCAGGCCAGCCATCAACAGGCTAGTGATAACAGGAGCAGGAAAGGAGAGCTGGCAGGGTTTTCTGGAAAAGATGATTGGCCATATAATGACCAGTTCCCTTATCTGAATGCCCTTTTTATCTATATCCCTTCTTTCCAAATAATCTGCATCCCTAAAAGTCTCAGTGGGTCTCAGAATCCAGACACAGGGAGACCAAAATACTGGAGCCTAGGCTGGACCCAAAGCTTGTCTCTCTTAACTCTGAGCTCTGTGGCTTGGACATAGACGGGTTAGAGATCACTCTATAGGAAGCATTTAGCATAGTACTCATCCCTTCTTACTGTGAGACCTTGAGAGCACCAAGAAGGACGAGTTTTGAAAACAGAACTGTAGAGGATCCTAGATGGTGAGTATTCCTATTATAAAGCTAACTAGAAAACCAGATGGGTAGAGAACTAAAAAGATGCAGGACCACTGACAAGTGTG